CCTGCCATTTTAATTCAGAGAACCCACTAGTTTGTGTGGGAAACAAAGATACCATGGCCTTTTTTTTTTTTTTTTTTTTTTGTGGCCATGTACAAGCTGACATTTATTTTTAGATCAAGTTACATCAAAAGCCAAGATGGAGAGTGAAGCAGCAGCAAGAGGAAGGAAGCTTAAAAGCAATTTCAGCTCTGTCTCCTTACACCTGCCAAGTGCAGAACTGGTGACTCAGGCAGGTGGCCCAAGTGGTGTCTGGACACTGGTTCCAGACATTGTCACTTCCTGCTCCTCAAGCATTTAAGGCAGCTCTGCTTTTGGGTGGGCCAGTTGTCATTCCCTGAGAGCTGAGCTCTCAAGCTGAGCACCAAGAGGGGAAATAACAGAAACAGTCCTGAGGATTCTCAGCAACGTTGAACTGAGGGGTGTGTGCATCTGTACCACCCCTGGGACAGGCTGCAGGCTTTTTCAGCTACAGAGCTACTTGCCCAGAGAAGAGCTGGCAAGAGGTGCTGGCTGTGCTAAGGAAATTCAGAAGAGTCAGCCACCAAGTTGGTCCAGGCTTTGGGGACTCCAGCTCTCTCTCCCTGGACAGGCTTGAAAATATCTCTGAAAGAAACCAAAGCTGCCTATACATTTGTTAGCTAAAGCAAAGAAGGAATGAAAACTAAATATTTTTCTACAGGATATGATCACATCTCCCTTAGTTACTAGAAGGGCTTCTTTGGCACCTCCAACAGAGATCCAACTTTTCTGTTGTTTCCCAGCCACGTGAAACCCTTGCAAAGTCACACACCTCACACAGGACACCTGCTTGCACCTTTTACTATTTTTTACTGCCTTTTGGTCAGACTACTGTCTTTCAACACAAAAGAGTCTATGGGGAAAATAAACTCCCCTTCCTGGAAAAACCTCCTGGAAAGAAAACTCCAGCTGGGATGTGCACACTGCCCACTTGCAGCCTCCTAACTCTTGGTACCAGCCTGTTGGCTCAGGGTGCACGGAGGCAGTGATGCCTCACCCCTCTCTGCTCCTTCTCAGTCTGTTCAAAACTGTTCAACTCTTGTCAGCTCGTTTAAAAGCTACCTCACTCTCTTCTTTCAGAGATCTCTGCACAACATAGTGTTTTAAACACAAGTACCTACACTTTAAAAGGATTACTCAGATGCTAAACAGAAAGTGTGATCAATCCTCTCAGTGATTTCAACTGCAATGTTTGTAGAAGGTTTGATTTTACCATTTGATTTTACCATTTCTTTAGAAAGAATTTAAGCTGTACTCAAGTTTCTCCTTGGCAGCCATATAACCATGGCTCTAGTTACTACCAGAATTTCCTCTGGCTCCCTTGGTCTGGTTCTGTTGCTTTCTGCCTACTATTTTCTTACCTTTCACACGTAGTGTGCCTGGAATTAGATGCAAGCTCTTCTGGGAGAGGCAGGGTAACTACAGAATGCACTAAGCAGTTTAAGAAGTCAGATACCACATAACTAGTTCAAAACTGTAAAATATATACAAACTATTCTGTGGATTAATACAATAAACCAAAGGACAATATAAGTTGATTTAGGGTATTACCTGAAACACATTAAACCAAAGTTTACCAGATTTCAAATACCAGAAGGATAATTCAAATTTGAGTGTTTTAAACATAAGTAACAGAAACTTCTGAAGCATAACTTACATTCTCAGTCACTGAGGGAAAGTTAATTCAAGGTGGAAAAAAAAGGAAAGGAGAAACTGGTAAGAACTCTAACTGCCATTTGCTCCTGACAGCCCCTCAAACCCTGCTCTGGCACTTAGTAAAAGGCTCTAGTAGTTTGTTTTTTTTGACCACTTCAAAATCCACAGCTCAAAATAAAAACAAAGAAATACCTACTTGGGAACATTTGAATCTAGCATAGATACTCTGTTTTGATGCAGTAACTGTTAAGAGTAGCCAGAAATCATGGATTTTCATAACCAATCCAATTAGCAACAGCTGCATTCTAATTATGGCTTCATGTTCTAGGCATCAGGTTTGTACAGCTCAATTAAGAAAATTTCACATCTTCCTGCTG